TCAATTGGATTCATCAGAAATAACTAAGGCAAATAACAGGGCCGAGCAGGCTGCAAAAGAGGCTGCCCTAAATTCACAGGACATTTCAAACTCTAACTCTATGCTACCCCTGGCTCCAACAGACCCCTTAGATGACCCAAACACAGCCCCTAAAGCCCCTTCCTTAACCAGAGATCAGCTTATTTACCTACATAGACTTTTCCATCCTGGCTCTAAGACTTTATTGGCCTTTCTGGAGCCAATAGCTTCTCTTTCTCCTTCAGACAAATTGTTCCTCCAAAACCTAACCTCCACCTGTCTCATATGTCAAAAGCCTAACCCTTCTACCAGGCCCACCCCCTTTCCCACACATCAAGCAAGAGGTACATTAACCAGGCATGGACTGGCAAATTGACTTTACACATATGCCTAGGATAAAAAACTATAAATACCTGTTAGTGCTAGTAGATACTTTTTCGGGACGGGTTGTGGCCTTCCCTACTACAAATAAATGGGCCTCTACTGTTTCTCTTTTAATCTATAAAGAACTCATTCCCAGGTTTGGACTCCCCACTTCCTTCCAATCTGATAATGGACCTGAGTTCACCTCCCAGATAACTCAGGGTCTCATCAAATTCATGGGAATCTCCTGGCATTTCCATATCCCATTCCACCCCCAATCATCAGGAAAAACAGAATGTACCAATAGGTGTATCAAGTCCATCCTCACTAAACTGACCTTAGAACTCCACCTAGATTGGGTTACACTCTTGCCCCTCGCTTTATTAAGGTTAAGATCCCTCCCCAAAGCCCCCCTCCAGATCTCTCCCTTTGAATTGATGTTTGGATGCCCCATGCTGCCACCAGGACTAAACCCCCAAACCTCCCCTCTTCCCCCCACCATATTAATTCCTTTACTCAGTCACATACAGGCCCAGTTATGGCATCATGTAGATTCACTATTACCTTGCCCCATATCGGATCTCCTGCCTTCCTACCAACCTGGAAATCAAGTCCTCTTGGCTCCACCTAATGAACAAAAAGACCCCTTAAACCTAAATATCAGGGACCATTTACAGTAATTCTATCCACTCCAACTGCAGTAAAACTAAAGTCTCTCCATGGCTGGTTTCACTATTCTCAACTTAAGCCTTTTTTACCTACTTCTTCTCCTCCTGACCTTTCAACAGATTCCTCTTCAGTGTACTCAGCAACCCATATGGGACCTCTCAAGATAAAACTCACTAAAATTGCAGAAGAAACACCTGACCTAAATTTGGGCACATGAGAGATCTCCAGCACCCAAAACACCTAAGTGCTTCCATGGGATATTGTAAAGCATTCACCGTTACATCCCTGTTCAATGTGTTAAGCTTTCTCCTGGTAGTTCTCAGTGGAATACTCCTGGGGACAGGCTTAGCTTCTGAAGCTCCTTCAGATTTTACATTAAGACATAGAATAATATTGATGCTAGCTTATTATTTGATTGTCAGTGTGTTTGCTTTCCTTGCCTGCTTAAAATAGGTTAGGATTTAGATATGACAATGGAAAAGAGACCCCATAGATCTGTATGTATGATTGCTATGTTTCATTCTATTATGATTTGCCTGTCTGAAAAGTCCTCATCAACCTGTAAAAGTTACTTGGATGATAATTAATCCCTCAACTGGTAAAATAACAAGTTTGGTGTCTAAATGGACTCCCCCAATCATTTGGTGTCCATCTCTTAAATTTGATTTGTGTGATATGGCTCTAGGAAACACATGGGATGTAGCTGATTGGGAATATGATTCAGAGGGTGTGCCCAGGTGCAGAGGGCACTGTAATTGGGACTATAATGAAGGACCAGGATGTGCTCATAAATATTCCAGATCAAAGCTTTTAGATCAATCCATATATGTTTGCCCAAAACATATAAAAGATAAAACAGGCTGTGGGGAACAAAGTGATTTTTATTGTAAGACATGGGGTTGCGAATCATCCAGCACCATACCGGGACACTCGGCTGGTATAAAAATAGATTTTATATCAGTCACTCAAAAGCCTCAAATGCTCAATAATATAGGATCTGTCCATTATTCACAACATTATCATTATTCACAATGCAACAGGTTCCAATGCAACCCCATATTAATATCCTTCACCAACTAGGGAAAACAGGTACCCTTAGAAGAATGGAAAATAGGAAAACAATGGGGACTAAGAATAAACACAAAAAGCTATGACCAAGGACTCCTGTTTGGCACTCACCAAATTATCGAGATTGATACACCAACGACTCTTAAGCCAGTCTCTAAGTCAAAACCAACCCCAAAACCTGAGTTAAAAATTGGCCATAGACCTACCCAGAGATGGGTCACTACTTCCAGCCCAGCGACAGATAATAGACAGACTCAACCATCCCAAGATCCCAATTCCTCTGATCCCTTGTTTAAAATTATGGAACAAGCTTTTTCAGTACTTAATGATACTAGGCCTGAAATCACTACAAACTGCTGGCTATGTTATGATATAAAACCTCCATATTATGAGGGAATTGGATCTCAAGCCACCTTCAACCTGTCTCCTGATTATACCTGTTGCAGATGGGGAAAAGGAACAATGGGACAAGTCACTCTCACATCTATTCAGGGCTCTGCTACCTGCATAGGTATTGTTCCCAGTTCATATGAATATCTCTGTAATAAAACCTATCCTGTTAATGCCACTGCATAATATGTCCCCTCCAATAATGGATGGTGGGCATACTCCTCTGGTTTAACCCCTTGTGTGAATGGACAAATATTAGCACAATCTAAAGATTACTGTGTCTTGATTGACCTAATGCCCCAGATACTCTATCATGAATATAACAACTTCCTAGATGAATGGAATGATATAAAAAGGGTTAAAAGAGATCCAGTAACAGCCATAACCCTAGCAATATTACTGGGGATGGGCGTTGCAGGAGCCAGTACTGGAACAGCCACCCTCATCACACAACATCAGCAATACAATGGCTTGTGGATAGCAACTGATCAAGATATAGAGAGAATAGAGCTGTCAATCACTAAGCTGCAAGAATCCCTGAGTTCTTTGGCAGAAGTAACTCTTTAGATCGAAAGAGGGATGGGTTTAATATTCCAACAGGAAGGGGGAATGTGTGCTGCTCTAGGAGAAGAATGTTGTTCTTATACTGATCATTCTGGAATTGTAAGATACTCCATGGCCAAGGTCAGAGAAGGCCTACAAGAATGGAAAAAAAGAAAGGACACAATCTCAGGGATGGTATGAAAACTGGTTTGCCTCACCTCCTTGGCTCACATCACTACTGTCGGCTTTGGCTGGTCCTTTAATTCTGATCTTAATTCTATTGATAGTGGGACCCTGCATAATTAACAGACTGACTGCTTTCATTCAACAGAGAAAAAGTGCAGTCAGACTCATGGTACTCCATCAACAGTACCAACACATCCCTGCTGAAGACAGGGACACTAACCAGCTCTTCACCTAGGTCTCCACACAAACGGCTCATCAGCTGATACCAAGAACACAAAACCTGAACACTGTCAAAACTTCCTTCATATGGAAGCCACCCTCCAGAACCTACTGTTCATCTGGATCTTCACCAGGTTCAGAGAGTTCCTAGAAGATCTGCTCCCCAATCTATGTTGGATGACTCTATACCCTTGTCTGGTCCTACAGGTAACCCAGTTGGGTCTCTGAGGCCTGGCTCCAGGGATCCCTTTGTCAGTTCACGCCAGCTGAAATTGAGATTTTCACTTTCCTTTTACTTTTCATTATTTCTGAAGATGATTCACCACAGTTTCTGGACTCTTCCCCTCGATTAAGACCCTGCATCAGTTCCCTTCCCTGCTGACCAACCTGTGTGTTTAAGATTATATCTTACAGGTAAAATTTCAATGACCTTCAGTTCATCTCACACAATGATAGTGCAGCCAACTAGACATCAGGCTAACCCCTGCCCTTGGATTGACTCATCACCCCAATTCCACAGGAAGTAGTTACAGAAGACACACATTCCACCCCTTTGCCATCTGCCAATGGACATGTTGGCTGCTGGTCATCATCCAAAATCAGAGTGGGGAATGTTAGGAAATTGTACATGTTACTTTAAACTCCTCCATTTTATACCTGACTTCCGGGTTCTTCCCAACTTAAGTTTCGTTTTCCTCCCCGAGTTGAATTCTTCCCAGAAATGACGCCAACATCTGATAAGGGACTTCTGCAGGACTAAGACCTTATAGGCAATGTGGCCTGCAATAGGTTAAAAAACAGCTAATTCCCCTAAATTGCAAAACTCCCACCCAAGACCCTATAAATGAGCCAACACTCCTTCCCTTGGGACCCGCCTCCCTTTCTTCACCTCCGGGCCTTAGTGCCTCACCTGACTCCCTTCAATAAAGCTCTCCTGCCAGACCTCTCAGTGCGTGAGTGACCTTATTGGGAGAGGCACCTGTGACCCCTTTCAACAACCACCTTTCTTCAACCTCTATCAGAGCATGACTAAATGTTCATTTACTTGTCAGAGAAAGACCTGACAACTAAATTAATTAGTAGTGGTTGTGCATGTCTGTAATCTGTGCATTTTGGCAGACTGAGACAGAAGGATCATAAATTTAAACATAGCTTGGATAACTTGCCAACTTAGAAAGACCCAGATGTAAAATTAAAAATTACAAAGACTGTGTTACAAAATTTAAAAATAAAAAATGCTTGGGATAAAGTTCACCACAGAGACCCTAGGTTCAATCTCTATAACCACAAAAGACAGAGGAAGACTAAATTAAGAAAACTACACAGATAATTCCAAACTGCAAAGATGTTGTTAAGGAAGCTCCTGAATCCCCCAGAGAGGGAGAAAATGGTGACAGCAACTAAACCTCTGATCAATTCAGAATCCAGACTTTGGAAAATACAATTTTAGCAGGGAACCTCAATATTCCACTACCAAATGTAGATTAACTAGATAAAGAAATTACAAAAATGAAAAAAAAAAAACTTTGAACAAATGGACTTACAATATTTATGACAAGGCTGTAATTCATGGTTTGACTTCCAGGTGGCTGTGATCTGAACATGTTACATTCCTGCAAGCTTGAATGAACAACAGTACACAAATGAATGTCCCATCGATCATAAGTGTCTCTGGATGATACACACTGCCCACTGGGACAGTTCTGCAGTACTACCAGTGGTTCAAGCCTGTGAGAATTTGTTAATTGATAACTATAGAGTTGTAAGACTTGAATAGGCTAAAGTGACTCCATGCTAATAGGCCAGACTGTGCTTCATATGCTAATTGCTACCTTGGTTAACAGCCCGCCCAGGGGCAAATGGTTTGACAAAAGGTGACCCTAGAACATTTCCTGCATAAGATAAGCAATGTGTTTGCAGTCTTGTTCTGTGAATTCCCTGACTCTTTGTTTAGAAAAACCTTATAAAAAGTACTTCAGCCCCTGAGCAGTTGCCTCTCTGAGCCACCTGGCTCTGGGAGTGCCATCTGGCCAGACTAATAAAGGTCTCTTTACCATCTAGCCTGGTGTGTTCCCTCCTGGGTTTCTCGGTTCTCTGTCATGTTCCCGGAGCCTCGCTGGGTGTTAGGGTCCAGCATCGTGGAGGCCTTTTGGCTGTTCACGCTCCGTGGAGTGGAAGTGAGACTTTAGGTCTTACAGAGTGTTCCACTAAACAACAGAATGTATATTCTTCTCAGCAGCACATGAGACTTTGTCCAAAATATACCATATACTAGGTAATAAGTATGCTCAAGTAAATACAGAAGAATTACAATTATACAACAAGCTGTGGACCAACAAATCAGTGTTAAAAGAAACCACACAAATTATGTGAACATACGGAAAGTAAAGACACCTCCCTAGAATAATCTATAGATCTCAGAAGAAATTAGACAGTTCTTATTAGAGACTCCTGCAGTTAGGTTCCAGGCTCCCATCCAATATAAGATGCAGGCCTAAGTGTTGAGCACTGGCCTGCGAGCTGGCAGAAGTGCTGCCATCTAGAGCTAAGTGGAACCATTTTTAGAGATAAGTTTCCTTCCTGAAGTTAAATTTCTAGAATTGTAGTTCTTTGTCTGAGTAAATGCCTGTTAATCACCCATTAGGGGTGCCTTTGTGATTATAGTCCATTAATTGTTTGTAGGTAAGCCTACTTCCTCTTTAGTTTGTGGTTTTTTGCTTTAAAAATCTGATGCGTGCCTGCAATAAACTTCGCCTTGATCAGACTTGTCTTGGCATCCTTCTTTCTCTCCTGGCCCATCTCCACCCAGTGCTCTTTCAGGTTTGAGACACTGCTGGACTGTGCTCTGCGTCACCAGCTCACGACACCTAAGAAATAAAACTAGGAGAGAAAGCAGGGTGCCAGGACAATCAGTGTTGGTACAACTGACAAAGGCATTGGCCAGTCCCAGGCACTGATTTTTATTGGCAAGCAATTGGGGTAAGGGCAAATTATGGGCAAAGGAATGACCATTATGCAATTTCTATGAAAATTAATGTAAACAAGGCTTTTAAAGGACAAGACAAAGCATTCTGGATTTAAGAACAGAACAGACAGAACATATGGTTGTAGTTACAATGCTGTTCCCCCAGTAAGAAGGTTTCAGTTGTTGGATTCTGGGTTTCAGTTACTCTGATCTCCACAAAAAAGTTTCAGCCAGATTCACTTCTCAAAACAAACAAATTGTGGTGTTAATTTTTCACAGCCTTCTTTGGGTATAATCAGTATTATGACCCCTGCATCTCCCCCTCCTCTGTTTGGAAATGGCAAATCCCATCAGGGTGAACTGTGACTGTCTTTGTAGCCTGTTTATTCCTGGTCTCATTGGTGGGCAGTGCATCAGTTCTGGTCATGTCAGGATGTTCAAGGGCCATTGAAGGCAAGGGGAATCACTCAGACATTGCCTTTACACGGCTTTCAGCAGGGGTTTCATGTTGCGTTGCTTGCAGTGAATGCACCATCTTGGTCCAAGGTTGTATATTCTGGGATGATGGATACATCATCTTTTTATTCTCTGTTGAAATATAAGCATATCCTGGACTCCTATGTTATTGTAAGATATGAATAAGCTAAAGTGACTCCATGCTAATAGGCCAGAGACTGTGCTTCTTCATATGCTAATTACTAACTTGGCTAACAGCCCAACCAGGGGCAAATGGTATGACAAAAGGTGACCATAGAACATTTCCTGCATAAGATAAGCAGTGTGAGGCCACACATGGTGGCACATGCCTGTAATCCCAGCACCTGGGAGGCTGAGGCAGGAGGATTGCTGTGAGTTTGAGACCAGCTTGGACTACATAGTGAGTTCCAGGTCAGTCTCAAGTATATCCCCCCCAAAAAAAAGATAAGCAGTGTGTTTAGTCCTCTGGTAGTTCTGTGAAGGCCTATGTTTGAACTTTTTGTTTAGAAAAACCTTATGAAAAGGACCTCAGCCCCTGAGTAGCTGCCTCTGAGCTATCTGGTTCCTAGAGTACCTTCTGGCCAGACTAATAAAGGTCAATTTACCATCTAGCCTGGTGTGTTCCTTCCTGGGTTTCTCATTCCTCTGTGCTCCCGGAGCCTCGCTGGGTTTTAGGACCCAGCATCATGGAGGCCTTTTCAGCTGTTCACGCTCTGTGAAGTGCATGTGAGATTTTGAGTCTCACATTATTAACTGTACTGAGTAATTTACCTTTCAGTTAGGACATCCTTTGACAAGACTAGTGTCTAGAATATGGTAGATTTTTCTCTGTATCAACAGAGTTTTGAGGCAGTATATTTCCTTTCCTTAAGTGGATTTAAAAAATTTAAATGAAAGTAACAAGAGAAAGTAACAAAATCTAATTGAGCTTATAGATGTAGCTATTCCCCCTTTTTTGTTTATATCACTGTGTTTCTAAGGAAAGGTGAGTAAGATTGATGTAGGGAAGATTGCAGTTAGGGGCTCTCTTCATAGATCTTATTTAATAGATTTAAAATAAAAATTGTGTTGTAATTTTGCCTATTGTAAAACTCTTTAAAAAGTCAATCTGGTGAGCCAGGGATTTAGCTCAGTAGTTGAAGTGGTTAGATCTTGGAACAGAAACAAAAGAATGCAGTTAATGCCCAAAGCAAGGTTTGCAGCAAGGAAGCAGGGCCCAAGAAACTGACAGCCCTCCCAATTCCCAGGCAGGCAGTTAAGCAGCATGCAGGCAAGAGAGGAAATTGGCTTGGTTGCCTGAAAATGAACTAACACTACTGCAGGAAGGGAACTGTCTATACACTTTGGCTATATGGCATAGTGGCCACACAGGGTTGCTTATATGTTTTCTTGCTTGTATATCTGGTTCTATGTCATCTCCAATTGTTTCTTTCTCTCCCTCTCCAGGCCTCCCAATCCCTCCATATATATATATATATACCTTTACTTTTTTCTTTTTTATATTGCTTCTTTTTGGGTGGGTACCAGGGATCAAAATTCAGACTTTACACTTCCAAGGCAGGCTGCAGAACCACTAAGCTAAATCAGCCCTTACATTGCTACTTTAAAAAACTATGTGATTATAAAGCTTATGCTTACAGAGTGAGCTGTTTCTGTGAAAATATTGCTACTTTTAAAACCTGTTTTCTCATTTTTTTTTCTTTTTTTTTTTTAGGACCAGGAATTTAGTTCAGTGGTTCTGCTGCCTGCCTTGCAAGCACAAAGACAAACAAACAAACAAAAAAACCAAAAACTTTTTTTTTACTTTATTACTTTATTTTTATTATTTCTAGGCTGTACTCTTTTCAATATTCATTTCCTCTATTCTATTCCTCTTCACCTATTTTGTTTTACTTTACCTAGTCTCTGTCTTCCTGTCTTTCTCAACTTTCATGTGACATACACAAGTACAGAATTCACAGTCAGAGAAAAGTGATCAGAGATAAATAAGAACTGAGAGCTGAAAATAAGAACAAAGCTTGTCATGAAGAGGTACAAGATCCCAACAATGAATGTAACTGTACTGTATCCCTAAAATGTA